ATCAAACACACCTGATTCAGGATATCAGCTCATTAGTAGAGACTCCAAAACCTGAAATGGTTGCATCAGACAAAGGGGATATGCAAAATGTGCAGTGCTGGGGGGAGGCAGTCTCCAGGACCGTGGTTGGAAACCACAGTGTTTCCCATCCCTGTTTCTGTAGGCACCCCAACACCACATATTTCCCAACTCTTCCTAATCAAACACCTGGATCAACTCATCAGCTCAGTAGATACTCCAAGACCTGGATTAGATATGTCCAATAAAGGAGACTAAGGTTGCAAAGGGATGGAAAATGTCCAGTAATTTTCCAGAAACTTTCTAGAATTTTTGGAAACTTGGAAACATACAAAATGCGTGGTTCTGGCCTCCAGGACAGGTCTGAAAAACTAGAACAGTGTTTCCAAACCCTGTTCCTGGGGGCACCCCAACACTACACATTTTCAAGCTTTAGCTAATCAAACACACCTGGATTAGCTCTTTAGTAGACACTGCAAGATCTGAAATGGGTGGGTCAAGTAAGCAAGACCAAAATGTGTACTGTTGGGGTGCCTCCAGAAACAGGGTTGAGAAATACTGATCTGGAAAAACCCTTGAAAACGAACAGGGATATTGTCAGATATATCCAGAGGGCAAGAGTGTCTATAGTGGCCATTAGATTTGATATACTAGTGGGTCGTTCCAGGCGAAGACAGCACAGCAGTCTGTAGCGGAAAACATTCCGGCAGGCTGAGTGAACCGGTTCTCTTCTCAACCTGCAGGCCCTAATCACCAATTATGAGTCCATTAGGGCTGCTGGCAGCTCATCGTGTCCCGCCGCAGCGGAAGGGGCTCTGGGTGTAGACCTCTGCCCCACTTCGCTCCGCTCCACTGAGCGCCTGTCAGCCCCGTTTGCGCTGCTGCCGTGATAGGACCCATGTACAGGCAGATAACAACACCTGACCTTACAACCGGTTACCGGGAGACACTCGCCATGCCGACAGGGCTCATCGCAGCGCGACAGCAGTGGCATAAATCTGAGCTTCTCGGGGTGACGAGACTTCATTAAAGAAGCGCGAGAGAGAATGGGTAATGCCTCTGTAGTGTACTAATAGAAGCAGAGCCCTCGTTAGCCGAGCACGAGGAAAGATCCATCAACAGCATCTCCTTCTTTCGCTCGGCTTACAAGGGGACCGAGAGCGAGAGAGATTTAGACTCCCATAAGGAAGCACTGGCAGCAGTCTCGCAGCAGGCTGGTTAAATTATCTCACAGGCGAGAGGTGAGACACTTGCCAATGCACAGAGGAACTTGTTAAAGTCCCCCTTTTAGAGCAAAGCGTCGCCTAATGTACGACTATTGGGCCTTGGTCAAAAGTTCAGCCCCTGCATATGTAAAAAGGTAGCGGAGCGCCTGAGGCAGAATCCTGGGGAAAATAATTGCGCTAAACTGCTGAAAACGCGCAGTCAGATGCCGGACTGGATCCCAATGAAGCGATTGTGAAGAAGGCGGGCATGACGGGGGGGAAGGTGGGGTTGCTGATTGGGCGGCTGTGATTTTCCCAGCAGCTTCATGTCCCAAAGCATCAAGCAGCTATTAGATGCCACAATACCCAACCGTCTAAGAAATGTCAAACCAAACATGCTAAAACAGCTGTTTGACTACACAAATGAAAATGTTACAGAGGTTTCGGGGACGTAAAGTACTTCACATAAAACCATATAGGAAGTATCAAAAATGGCCTTTTTTTGACATTGAGCAAAAATATCTAACAAACATAAACCATTGCAGATCTAATAAAAACTAAATTTCTTGGAAATGTAAAATCTGCTCATGTAAATGAGACAAATGAGGAATTTTTGGATTTCTGAGCAAGTAACGTCAATTGCTATGTTTTGTTGATTCTAACCCTATTTTGGTAAGTCATATTAAATTCAATTCTACTACAGTACAGTATATTATAGTTGCAAATAACTTTCTCATCAAAATGATTCCAATGGCAGATGGTTGGTTTGTATCCTAAATTGTACACTAATATCCTCAGTGGTGAGTTTAGTCAATGGAATGATGCATTTTTATCCCTGCTTCTCACTGACAGGACATCCATATGCCAGGAAAGATCAGTACCGTCAATTCTGCTCAGCACAAGAGACCACTTGATTATTATGAGGAGAAAATGACTCCACTCTTATCAAAGCTAAACGCATCTGGAGATCAGCATGGGCCTAATGTACAACTGCAGGCCACAAAGAGAGCAAGAGAGATGCATGGCAGAACATATCTGATGTACAGATTATAGATGAACACAGTCGTGTGAGTTACAGTCAGATATCAATCCTGCCTCTTTCCCAATGAATTTTTATCAACTCAGCAAAACTGAAAATTATCTACAAATTACAAGATGAGATGATGATATTCGGTTTTATGAATTACACTGCAACATCCTTTGCATTTTAAAATGGCATCTGCCATTTTTATTATTATATTTTAGTTTTTTTTTTAATTGAGATAAATTGAGGCAAACAAATATAATAATAATAATAATAATAATCAATTTATTTATTATTGGGATGTTTAATGCATCTATGTATCAGCCTGTAAAGAAACACTAAACTAAATGGAAGTGTCCCACTCAGATGCAATAAAACAGCAAAATAAGAGGTTTTATTCTAGATTTGCGCAGTTATAAATCACGTACAGCTTCTTGGAGAAGACAAAGGCGTATTACTGAGCTTGGGTGTAATATCGTTCCAGGCTCTTCCTGTCAACATTCTGCAGAGCTTTGCAACCTTGAACAATTTCCCAGCATCCCATATGAGACTGCAAGCAATTAAAACGATACCATCTTCATAACCAATAAATAAAATAACAGCACTGTTTTGTGTTAAGTTCACTAATATTTGAGGGGTTTCAGAAGAGGGAGAGAGAAGCACATTAACACCTTGGTAAGAACTGGGGTTTTCCTATGTTAAGTGTCATCTGCACTGCACTTAATATATAGTGAAAATAATTACTATACTGATTAATAACAATAATAATTATAATAATAATAACAGCTTAGGATTTTATATATATATATATATATATTATTTATAAATAATATAATTTATGCTCAATATACTTTAGAAAATAAATAAAGTAAGTTAGTAAGTATTATTAACTTGTAAAGATGTAACCAAAGAGTCTCTATTCAAATAATTTCATATCCATAAAAAAATGATAATAATCTATTTTAAAAATATAGAGAGAAAATAATTACTATATTAAATACAGATAAAGAAATATTAATTCTAAATATAAATAATGTATATAATAATAATAATAATAATAATAACTTAATATATACTATAAATAATACACCATAGAGTGAAATCTATTAAAAATCAGGAATGACATCATTGGAAAATTTGGAAACTGAATCGTGATTCATTATCTTACAAACACTGATATTTTCTTCAGAAAACACACGTCTAAAATGTTGGTTCTTCTTTACATGTTCAAAACTATGAAATGTTAAAAAAAAAATTTTTTTTAAGTCAAATGAACAAATCACAGTTCAGAAACAGCAGCAGCAGAATGCCTTGATCCACACCGACGTCCATCAAACATGACTGACAGCTGGAGAAATGAGCGGTTTTGAGTTACGACTGGGCCGTGCGCATAAACTTCAGGCATATTCATAACCATCTCTTTAATACATAATCAGCTCGACTGAAATACTCAACACTACATCAAAACCTGCCTTCAGAGTTTTCAACCAAAATTAAAACAAAGAATACATCAAATGCATTGTGTGGCCTAAAGCGTAACAGAAGCGGAAGGAAATGCTTCAGGTGCGAAACAGGCAGATACTTTATGATTTATGAGGATGTTGAATTTTATAGTTTGTCTCTGTAAGTGTATGTGACTCGCCTCTTCGGGCTAAAACGGGAGAGTGTTGCCTACAGGAAGAGCTGCCCGCCTGATTTATGCGGCGCTGGGCTATACGAGCAGCGCTACGGCAGCGTGACACACACACACACACACACACACGGTCTGCTAACTACAGGCAATTCCTGCTTAAGAACCCAAAAACATGCTAGTGAAACTTTCTTGGACCACAAAAAGTTCAAGTACCAACCACTTACCTGAAAAATATATCACATAAAAGCAGGTGTACATTTACGGATGGTGTGAAATGAAGAAAACAAAGAGCACCTCAGTCACAAAATCATATATGCGACAAACAAAAGACGCAATAGCTTTGTTCTTCAGTCTAGCAAGCTACTGTTGCATTTCAAAGTATCGTAGGTTCCCAATGAGAAGGCTATTGCAAAACTTTAAGACACCTCATTTTGGCCAATAGTTAAGAAATATGAGTAATATATTAAATGTATAAATATATTCAATAATTACAGATGCACAATATATCGGTACCATATCAGCCAACGTACGTTATCGGCCAAATTTTAGATTTATTTATTTAAAAGCACGAATAACCATTAACATTGTTAAATAATCCCAAACATGACAGATTTTCATACTGTACTGTAAAATGTAATTTGCAATATTTAAAACCAAACGTTTTTTTATTATTTTGTTTGTTTGTTTCTTATTTTAAGCTTAGTTCAGGCAAAATTTTTATATCGGTGCACAACTACTATATTTACTATATTTAATGCCATACCAGAAAATATAATCAAAAATACTTCAATTAAAAATGTAAATTGGAAATGTTCTGTTACACCCAGCATATTTTTATGCAACTTAGGGTTTATTCATAAAAGAACATGTTTTTGCAGCAACACACTAACATCAAACTCCATTCAAATTAGCTGTATATCAAGTCTACCGCGTGCTTCACATGAAGAAAGCGAATTGTGTGACGTGTTGTTGATGCCTACGAACAACGATCAAAATCGGTTACAATTTTAGTTATGATGCTGAAGAAGTAGCTGTTTAAAAACAAAAAAAAACTCAGGAGCATTCTTAACCGTCCACTACATCAAGTGACAGAGGGAAAAATTACATATCTTGCTCTTACCATAGACTTGGTGAAGGGTCGTGCAAAGGTGAAGAGCAGGGTCATGAGCCACCAGCTGCGGTGGATGGAGGTGTACATCATGTTCCCAGGATGCAGTGCGTTACAGGTGACGCCGTGGGGCGACATGCGGCGGTGCAGCTCGCTGGAGAAGAGGATGTTGCAGAGTTTGGCACGGTTGTAGGCTAGCATTGACCAGTACTCCTTCTGTGGAGGTGAAAGCAGATTCAGCTCCACCTTCCCACACGAGTCCACCAGATCTGTGAACCTTCACAAACAACAAAGAACAATTCATACTAACATCAAAACAGAAGACACTTATTTTGAGAAATGTCTCTTTTGTTTTCTGTTCTGATTTGTGTCTTGTGTGTGGTTTGTTGTTTGTCTTATTTTATTTTTAAGTTTTCTGTGTTTTTTTTGTATTGGTTTTTGTTTTGCTGTTTTGTTTTGTGTTGGTGTTTTGTTATTTTTGTGTTATTTTTGTTTTCTTGTGTCTTGTTTTATGTTGGTTTTTATGCTTTGTTTTGTGTTTTTTTGTGTGTGTTACTGTTTTGTTTGGTGTTTGAATTGTTTTTTATGTTTTGTTTTATGTTGGTTTTTATGTTGGTTTTTGTTTTGTATTATTCTTGTAGGTGTTTTGTTTTGTTTTTTGTTTTGTTTACTTTATGTTTTGTGTCTTGTTTGGCATCTAGTTTCGTGTCTTTGTTTTTAATTTGTCCAAATGGAAGTCTACAGTCACCAAAACTGTTTGGTTTCCAACATTCACAGAAGAAAGAAAGTCATACAGGTTTGGAATTTGGAAGCTGGTAAATAAATGATAATAGAACTCTCATTTTGCAGTCAATATTGAACTAAGGGACAAAATTGATTTCTCACCAACTACAGTGTGACTAAAGTCTCAAGTCTAAGGTTAACAGGCGGGAATAACCTCCAAAATGTGAGCCGATGGAGAAATGAACTAAATGAGCTTTGGCAGGCCAGGTCTGGCTTAATGCAAATCAAAGCTACGACATGATGTTCTTAAATTGGCTCTGACTAAGCTGTTAAACGTCAGATGTTTGACAAGGCCCCTGAACACAAGACATTATATTTTCTCGATGTGTCCTTGTTTGTGTGTGTGTGTGTGTGTGTGTGTGAGAGAGTGAGTGTGTGTGTGTGTGTGTGTGACAGTATGTGTGTGAGTGTGTGTGAGTGAGTGTGTGTGTGACGGTGTGTGTGTGCTCGTTTTTGTGACAAATGAGGACATAAATTTGTATAATGACAAGGGTATGACATAGGTATTACAAGGAGAAGGTGACTTTTCAGGACATTACCCCATGTCCCCACGTTTCAAAACGCATATAAATCCCACAGAATGGAGTGTACTGAAAATCTGAAATGGCACAAAGTTTCCTGTGAGGGGTAGGTTTAGGGGTAGGGTTGGTGTAGGGCAATAGAATATACGGTCTGTACAGTAGAAAAACCATTACGCCTATGGGATGTCCCCACTTTTCACAAAAGCAAACCTGTGTGTGTGTGTGTGTGTGTGTGTGTGTGTGTGTGTAAACAATCCCAAGAAACTGCAGTAAAATGAATGGTCCCTCCTCTAGTGCGGATCAGAGCCCGCAATCGCATTCAACATTTACCTCTTAATTATGCGCTTTACATAACAACCAATCAAAACGTCACGTTCGCTGTATGACAAGCTCAGTGTGGCCAGTGTTGCTGTTTGACACGTTACATCTCTGCTTGGGTAAACAACAACATCTGTGGGCATCGCGTTGTTACAAATACTAAAGGTGTGAACTGTGGGAGTGGGAAGGAAACTAGTTAATTAAAGGAATAGTTCACCAAAAAAATAAAAAATAATAATAATAAAAAATTAAATTCAGATATCATTTATTCACCCTCCTGTTTCCAAACCCAATATGACATCAACACTTTTTCCCCCAAAGAATAAAATTAGCAGGGTCTATCAAGTTAAATAAACAAATAATAAGTATCATCTTTGCTAAGAGTGGTCCATTATTCACTAAAAATCTTGCCCTCATTGTCATTTGTGCATGCACACATTGTAACACATAGAAACCAATAACATTTGGCATCAATTATGTCAAACCTTTAGCAATATGTCAAGTTTGCATATGAGACCATTTTCTTGATATTTAAAACAAAAATAAAATCTTAAAATATAAATAAATTTTCAGTTGTTTGTTTGTTTTATTTTATTGTATTTTTCCAAGTGGTCCAGCTGACTGTGCACTGTATTCCAAGTCTTCTGAAGTAGTTCTGTGCATTCAATGGGGAATAAAAAGCCCTATTGCAATAATAAAAAGCTTCATGCTAAATAAACAAACAAACAAATTAATTAATTTTATTTGTTTATTTATTCATTTACATTTTTATTTTATTTCACTATTTTTTTAGCACAATATCATGCATCCCTATTCAATTTCAAGTGCTGTGTGACACTGAACACCGTTTAAAACTCCTTTTCTGTTCCATTGAAGAACGAAAACCGGGTTTGGAATGACATGAATGCAAGTAAATGATGACAGAATGTTTTTGTTATTAGTATTTTTGGCTGAACTACCCAGTTGAGCGGTTATATATCCATCCCCACTATCCCTCAGTCTGCACATGTTGACTTTGTCATCACCTCACGGCCGGGATAATCCATACGGTCTTCCCAGCAGAGGCATTCTGGGGTGGAAATAGTCTATTTTCAGAGCAGAGGTATGAAAAGGTCAGGTCAGGCTGGTATTTAATGACTGCAGTATCCTGCTTTAAAGAGACTGAAGTATAAAGGCGTGAATCTGGTGTGAGTTTTCAGAGGTGAGTTTCCTGTCCACGCTATCAGTGTCCTCTTGTTTGGAGTCGGGAGGCAAATGCCAGCAGCTATCGGTCCTGTCACTTAAGCCCCAGTGCTACAGCGCAGATAAACGTCCCCGCTGGCTCCATTTTATTCTTCCACCCTCAATCTCCCCAACCCCTCATTCTTTCCCTCCCTCTCCGAGCCGCTTTCCATCGCTCGCACGGCCATGTCAAGGTTTAACGGCTCTTGCGGCTTTGGGAAATATAATCTCTTCCTGGGTCAGAGGTCAGATGGGGAGCTCAAAAGGCCACATATTAAAGGCGCTGGAATTTATAGAGATGAGGAGGTAAGGATCAAAAATGATCAGGTGTAGCAGAAGAAATAAACTGTAAAAGTTAAATGGAGGAGTTACTGCGATAAGTAAGTGATTTTACTGTTGGCGAGAGCGAATTGAGATTTTGTTCCCTCAATGACACAAGGGGCTTGTTAATCTAATGGACCCTCACACTCTCAGAGCCGAAAATGTTCTTCAAAGGACTTTCATTTAATAATCACGTTACAGGAAGAGTAGGCCCCAAATATTAGCTCTCTTTCTGCATACTATCTGTACTACATACACTATACACCCATTTGAGAATCTGAGAACAGAAGTGGCCCGTTTTTCAACCAAGAGGTCAGGGTTTAGATAGTTAGCATGGTCTAGTTGGCATGTGCTGATAGATATCGTACACAATCTGACTGTAAAGAGCAACTTTCTCTATTGTCGCAAAATTATCCGACTCAAAAATTATAAATCAATCTGGAGACACGAGCGACGAGACTGTTGGTGAAGTGACAAGTGAGAGTAAATGGATAATTGTGCACAAACTAGTGTTAATTTCGTTAACGAAGACTATGACGAAAAATGTTCAGTGATGAGCTTCTTTCCCATGACTAAGACGAGATGAAGACGAGACGACAATAAGGTCAATAAACGATAACTAAGACTATATCAACATGCAATTTCGTTGACGAAATAAGACGAGACTAAAATGTATTCAAAAAGAAAAACTTTACCAAAAACCTCTTTTTATTTTCGTCAAAAAAGGAGACAAAATGTTATTACAGACTGCTCTACACATCTCTACTACGCGAGCTTTCATGAGTGCGGTTGCCAGATATCAAGAGTTCTAATCCCCGAATCAGAGCTTCGCTGTTACTTTCATACATTTTCTGCCCGGTGTGTTTTGCTTATTTTAAGCAATCTGGCAACCATGCGCAC